CTGGTCGGGCGGCGAGTCACCCGTGCTCGCCGTCTGCAGGCCTATGCTTACGGTGGCCGGAGATCGTCTCGCGATTCCCGACGCCCAAAGTGTCTCTCGCGACGAATGGGGCGTGAGGGGGTTCGTTCCCTCACGCGCCCCTCCTCCTCCTTAGCTAGAGTGACTGCTTCGCAGAAAGAGGAGATGGCATCCCAGTGCCTCCCGCTCCGTACCATAGTCTGAACTATAGCTGGACGCGAGATGGTTGAGTAGCTTAGGAAGTGTTTATAAATGAAGTGTCACCTAAGGTTTGTGGATTAGCCAAGGTTAAAAATGTTGCTTTACTAAACTTTGAGATCGAATCAAGAATTCATTCATCTTGAAAACGCCTTTCCATGATCCATCAGTAGTGACAATATACTGCTCGGTTAGCGCGGTGAGCAACTAGCTGCCGCGCAACGTGTCGCGGTTTCAATTCCCGCACGGAACTACTCTTTGTGTGATCAACTGATCATAGAACAGATTGTTGTTCCGGATCTGTGTGTCATGTGTATCTGAACTTGTATATTTGTAAACGCACCCACGATACGAGAGAAAATCCTAGAGTGGGGCAACGTTTAAAAATAAAATTAAAATAATATCGTAATGATACAACACGACCGAAGCATCCTCAGAAGTTTTAATATAACCTACAATAGAATTGAAAGCGAAACCACATCAATCGGTTTAATCAAATAGCTCAGAGCGTGTAACTTTGCCAACGGTATATACACCTAATCTGTTTCTATTTATAAACAGGAGAATTAACGAGAATAGATTAGCGTATTGTTGGGTGCTGAATTTGGAATAGAAATATTGACAGTTCAAAACAGCATATTTGTTTTGGCCTGATAACGATTGTCCTTTAGTCTTAGCCAGATTAAATGTAATACTGAAGTTAACATAAGTTTCAGTTATTTTAATCATATTACAAAAAGAAAAAAGATTAGGTCCTCAGCTCCACTATGGCGGAATCGCAGAAGATTCTAACCGCGTGGTATTACATTGTATGAAAAATCTGTCGTAGGACAAAGCGCCAACCGCAATCGCAACCGTTGCCATTAGTTTCTTGGTTAAACTGGGGCCCAACAGGGCCGATGCCGATTCGGAGTCGCGAAGAACCTAACGTCTGCAGGAGAAGGAACGGGGTGGTTTTTAGTCAGTAAGAGTCTGACACTCCCTCCCGCCTCACCCAGGTGGGAGCAGTCATTCGATGATTTTCCCCCCTTAACTCGTCGAGTACCGGTTTTGTAGACACAATTATAGAACAATAGGTTGCGGTCACCGGTGACCGCTTGGTGTTTGACAGTTTAAAAAAAAAGAAAATTACGCAGCCTAAAGCCGCCGCGGTTCTGCTCTCGTGCGGCCGAGGTCTAAGTAACTAAAACAGAATATTTTGTAGGTCATCTAGCACATAAATGATGCATTTACTATGTACTACGTAACCTGTTTTACATAAATGAACACCATCAAGTTGTTTACGACAGGCTCCCACCCACATTGCACACATCACTGGTTTCAGCTTGTCACAATGGATCACACGATTTATTTTATACCCCATAGAACATCATATTGATCATATCAGTGTAATGAAAGAAATCATGAATGAATGAATGAAAATTTAAACAAAAAAAGTGAAGTAAGTATCTGTATTTTAAAACTATCGTAGTTAAAGGACTTCATAAGTAAACTATCAGTAGTTTAAATTATCGTAGTCAAGACGAAGGCGTCCCAAGAATAAGACTCAAGTTTAGTCGAGATTTTGGGATTGTCTGTAAACAAATTATTTGACATAAACAAGTCAAAAGCACAGAAAACTGGCCAAAGTGATTTTGCAATAGGCCCATACTAACTTTAGATCGATTAGGGTGCGGAAAGGTGAAAGGACTCCTTCTATCATTATGGTTTGCTGACAAACTTTATGCTGGATACAGTACCTTAGTACCTTCATACATACTAGTTTTCATGAAATGTGAAGGGTTCTCAGACGCTACGTTATTCATTACCATGATCATCAATTTCACACAAAACTATAACATTTTGTTACATCAAATTACAATGAAATGAAAACAAATGAAAAATTGACAGTCATAACAAAATAATTTCGTTTGTAAAACCCCTAATGTGCTGTCGCCTGTACCAATGCAATCTGTGATTAATTTCCAATTATAAAATTAATTAAAGTGACAAAGCCTACGAGTCTCGATTGAGCAACGTGTTCGTAAAACATTAAGTAAAACAGGGCTGTCCAAACTATAAACCCTCGCGGGCTAATTCAATTTCTTACAAAAGCTGAAGGGCCAGAAAAATACCTCTATATCTGTTGTATAATGATGTTTAGCATTGTATTCTTTACTAACTAAACTTGCATACAAATTATACACAAAATTTTATTATTGTTGTTGCACATAAGATGAAGATGTTGAGATTAAAATATGTGTCGCGGGCCACATGAAAACAATCGAGCCGCATGCGGCCCGCGGGCCTTTGTTTGGACAGCCCTGATGTAAAACAAACGTTAAGTCATTTGCGGAATAAATTTTGCAGGAAATTATGCAAATGCTTAAGTATTACGGACTCATTTTTGATCACACTTGGCGTTTTTATTTATTTTCTTTGCAAATACTTGTTGACTTGTTAGAAAGTTTTGATTAAGAAACTTGATACCTAAGTATCTAATACTTCACTAAGTAGCGGTGTTACAAGTTAATTAGGATCTGTAGCCAATTAGGTAGTACTACCTATCTATGGCTAAGTTAGATTAGTCTAGCCGTTACAGAGAAATGAGACTTCTGCCTTTCTTTACCCACGAATTCTTCTCTTCTTAAGCCATTCTGAGCTAGTGACACTAGACTTCGAGGGTGAATGGAATTTTACCAAAATAGAGCATATTATACATTTTATGCTCACTCAGTTCACACTGGCATAAAAACTTATGTCTTACTCGATTCGATTGGAAGCCTGGTTTTTGATATTAATCCTTAGTATTACTGAACTTACCTCAAATGAACTTTTTCAAAATCTACATACAAAGTACAACGTACACATTTTCATCATAACATAATAATCGCCCATTATCCCTGAAGGGGTTGGCAGAGGTGCAGTTTACAGCACTTAATACCACTATAACACCCACTTTTCACTACTTCTGTTATAAATCCGATGTGATAGGGGTGAGCCATTGGCCATACCAGCAATACTTATTAAAAAAATCCACTAATACTTTGCGCGACCCAGGAATCGAACCATGATCATTTGACTAGCAGTCGCACTTGCGACCATTCGGCCAACGAGGCAGTCCACATTTTGTCTCAGATAATATTATTATGTAGATGTGAGACCACGATAGGTCAGTAAAATAATGAATATTCGAATTGCATCGTCGGAATAGCACGAGATATTTTGGACCGCAATCTCAGACCAATACACAAGATTGGAACTGCGTCCAGTAAATTGCGGTGGGCCTCACTATCAGTTGACGATTTCCAATCGGTTATTGGGTAACTGTAGGCGTATTGGACTAGCGTAGGTGGTCACAGATGGATGGAAGTTTATCTTCGTGGGTGACAACGAAAGATGCTAATTTAGATTGTTGTAGATATAAATTAACCCAGTAAATGTTAACTTTTTGACTGAATTTGTAGGTTATCCAGACGTTTAAACTATGACGAGGCTTTACATTAATAGAAACGTACACAATACATAGACATCACGCCTTTTATCGCCGAATGGATAGACAGACGTGCACATTACTTAATGCCACTATATAATGTAAACCAACTTTTCACTATTTATGTAATGAGTCCCATGTAATAGGGGGTGAGCCTATTGCCATATACCGGACGTAATTCCAGACTCCGTGCTACTACTGTATTTTTTTTAAACTCAGTTATACTATGCCCGACCTGGAAATCAAATCTGTGAGACCCCTTGCCCAGTAGGCGTACTTGCGACCACTCAGCCAACGAAGCAGTCGTACGTAAACATTAATACTATTTTGTCATACTGTATTGTATGACTCCTCTGGTGTTGCGGGAGTCCATGGACGGGTTTGTTTGCGTACCACCAGGTGATCTGTCCCTCGTTTGCCCGTGATTCCATAAAACATATTTAAACTGTTAAACACCAAGCGGTCACCGGTGACCGCAACCTATTGTTCTATAATTGTGTCTACAAAACCGGTACTCGACGAGTTAAATAAGTATGAAAATTCTTACGAATTTATTCTTGCAATACCTACAAAGATAATCAAATAGGTACTAACTATCTAGCTATCTTCCATTTTCTTCGAGATAAGACACAAAGTTAAGTAACAGTACGTTAAGTGATTTATTTTATCTTCAATGTGAATATTGTGATGTTAATATCAGCTTTTATGGAAGGGAAACACAATAACGCCCAAACCGTCTACAAAATTTAGCAGATTATTTATTTATTCGCTATAATGTTAGAATAAAGACGATAATAAAGATGATCATTGTCTTTCTTTTAACCTCGACCACCATGTTGCTGCTGAAAGCTTTCTAAAACTATGTGATTGATGCCATTTTTTTTTAAGGGGGGAAATCATCGAATGGCTTCTCCCGCCTGGGTGAGGCGGGAGGGAGTGTCAGCTTCTTACTGACTAAAAACCACCCTATTCCTTCTCCTGCACGTCGAGCCGGAGCCCTGGTTACTCGTTAATGGGGTTACGCAAAGACAATGGAACGCCAATTGCTACGATTCTTACATACCTCTTTCACTTCATCAACTGTCATCAGTCTTTTCATGCATTCTCGTTGATGATTGATTGATATCAATGAACTATAATACAGTCAATCCTCAGTCTGATTAAGGCATCCCACTCCCGAGTGATTACGCACATAGATACAAATTCACAAACACAAGACATCCAGGCCTTGAATAACAATTTGTCGACATAAAGTTGTTCCTTAACTGTTTTACCAACTCGAAAATTAATGAACTAACGTCATTGTTCTCAGGTCACCGTGCCCACACCGTGTTTGTTGGGGTCCATGTGCCAGCTCGAAGACATTCGCATAGGAAGCACAAACATCATCACCGCAATGGAGAAAAAGATGTAGAGAGACCAGGTAAGAGTGGAAGAAGATAAAGTTCTTGATAGAACTATTACCAGCCCAGACATTTAAATTGATATAAAATAGAAATTCCACCGAGAATGGATGATAGCTAGATAAATAATTATATTTGGATATCTGAGGAAAGACAGAATATGACATTTTTAATCCCTTAACAACTTTTATGTTGGAATTAAGACAAGCACTTACATTTAAATACAGCTGGCAATAAAAGTTTGACGCAGTGGCAGCTGAACCTAATATAGACTTGGACAGAATCACCAATCCCATAAATAAACGAGCTCAATTATTCCTAACTCTTATTTGCCAAGCTCTATGGGTTTCTATCATCTAAAAAGAACCACACAAGGATTCCTACGCCTAAATAAAGTGACTACAAAAATAGCAACCATAACAATATGTGTTCCCTTACCAAACATGCTATCACGGCACAATATGAGATGAAATTATTATGACGTCATTCGCACCCTTGTACAAAATTACCAAGCTTATAAAATTAACTCTTTTGACACAACACAATGAGGTTTGTTAGTCTCAACGGTATTATAATTCAACACGACTTGATTAACATAGCTTCTTCATAACGTTCTCCTCCTCAACATTTATGAAATTATCGCCTTTATACCAAAAATGTTCAATGTTAACCAATCTCTAGGGCCGGGGTTAATGACACGAGTTAGAAGATTAAGCGTCACTGATGACGGCGAAACATGTAAGAAATCGTAGAAAAATAAACCCTATCTCTCTTTTTATTAAGTCCGTTTCACTTTTCCATTTTAAAACTTAGCTTCATTTCACCAACATTTCACTGAATAAGCATGGATTATTATTCAATCGGGATCTTTCCTTTCACTTTTATGTTTTAGGATTATTCAGCATGTTTCAATTTACAGCTTATAATTTTATCTATGATTTATTCATGAACCTTTAGGATTTTAGTGATTTCATCTTTCTTTGTTCCTAATATTTTTACTCAAACTTAGAAATTCCGTTGTAAAAATATTTTAACGTTACCAAATTGATTTTCAGTAACACCACCAGCGCAAAGAGTACAATTTATACTCGGCGAAGATGTCGATGACTCCACACTTGAGTCCCACCCTCTATTCTCCGAAATGGAGGAACTGGTTAAAGACGGTGATGAACTGGAATGGAAAGAGACTGCCAGATGGATAAAATTCGAAGAAGACGTCGAAGAAGGTGGAAACCGATGGTCAAAGCCCCACGTAGCAACTTTATCTCTTCATTCTCTCTTCGAACTACGAAGTTTGATACTAAACGGATCAGTCATACTAGATATGGAGGCAAACTGCTTGGAACAGGTTGCAGATAATGTACTAGATAATATGGTAGCCGATGGTGGCATAGGATATGATTGTAGAGAGAAAGTCAAAGACGCTTTATTGAGAAGACATAGGCATCAACACGAAAGACGAAACCATCACAACAATATGTCGAGACTCCCTCTAATTCGGTCACTAGCTGATATTGGACGAAACCATTCATCGTGTAAAAGTGAGTACAAATCATTCATTAGAAACATTTCCTAAATTCACGTCGCATATCGTATTATTAATTATAGTTTTTTAGCGTACATTATATGGGTCTTCCGATCCTATCAGATTTCCAGGAAGGTGGCTCTCGACGCTCCAGTTCGAGGAGTTGTCGGGGGTCCACCTCATCTCCTCACACCGCTCTTCTTCAAGCGTCTGACGCCAGAGGTTCTTATCTGGCAGTTCCAGGTTAGCCAAGCGTGTGGAATGGTACCTAACACAAATGCTCACTGAACTCACGCCCTTTAACTGACATTCACAGTAGCACGCACGAGGCTAATTTAATGTTGTATATATCGGTGTAGTGTTTGGTGAAGGTTTACTAATCAGAATGACCCTTTTATACTATGACCCTTATTCTAAGATCCCTGTGACCATTGGCATTATGTTATTACAGTTGAAGAAGGCGGTTCAACAAGCGGCCACTCTTACAAAGGAGAATTCAGTCGTTTCCTAGGCATCCCTAGCGCGGGTAACCGCTTGTCCTCATCAATGTTGTTTCTTCTCTATCTTGTTGTTTTCTGTTTCTTACTTCCTCATTATTCTCAGACTAGATTTACCTGTTTCCATCTAACTTTGCTGAACGCTGGTGTCCTTGTTTCAGTACAGTCTGTTCAATGTCTGCTTTAGCTTCCGCCTCCATTACTTTTTCAAAATTTAGTACTACTTTATAAAATTATCCAATAAATAAGTCATCCTATACTTGACTAAATAAATTTTGGACTTGTAATTCGTGTACTTAAACCACAAAGTACGTTGATATGTACTTCATGTCTCATAACTCACTTTAAAAATTAATTGAACAATAGAATAGCCCATAAATACTACTACTTACACTTTTTTGTAAATTATGTACTTTTTTAAACTTTATATACATATGTAATTGCTTTTTATAACACAGATAATTGCACATTTTTATCATTGGTGTCGAATGTCGATGTACTAAATGGCTTTAACCGAGCGGAATTCGAAGGTTCTGCAAATGAATCTGAAATCATATTATTTCAGGTGCTGCACACGATGATGGCATGGTGAAAAGTCCCAGCAGTATATCAATGCAAAGGAACCATAGCTCTGGTGACCTGCCAATGAATGGAGATATAAATCACAAATGCAATACAAACTTCATGCGAAAGATTCCACCAGGAGCAGAAGCGTCTAACATTTTAGTGGGCGAAGTAGATTTCCTAGAAAAAACTCTATCTGCATTCGTTAGACTGAAAACCGGAACAATAATGGGTGATTTGACAGAAGTTCCAGTACCGACCAGATTTATGTTCGTATTGCTTGGACCTCCAAACAGTAACTCTAGTTTCCACGAAATTGGCCGAGCAATGGCTACTCTAATGTCAGATGAAATATTCCATGAAGTTGCATACCGAGCTAAGAAGCGAGACCACCTTTTGGCTGGTATAGACGAATTTCTGGATGCAGTGACAGTTCTACCACCAGGGGAATGGGACCCAGCTATACGTATTGAACCTCCAGCAGCTATACCGTCCCAAGATCCTCGTAAACGGCCAAATGATAATCACCCAAAAGAGGAATTAGATGAGGAAGAAGAGGAGCAAAGACAGAGGGAAGAATCAGGTTTAGCTAGAACTGGAAGACTGTTTGGAGGTCTCATAAATGACCTCAAAAGAAAGATGCCTTGGTATTGGTCTGATTTTAAAGATGCATTGGCGATACAGTGTGTTGCCTCGTGGATATTTTTATATTTTGCCTGCTTATCACCTATAATTACTTTTGGAGGGTTATTGGGGGAGGCTACCGGAAAAAATATGGCTGCAATGGAATCATTAGTATCTGGATTTGTCTGTGGAATGGGTTACGGCTTTTTTTCAGGTCAACCACTTACAATTTTAGGATCAACCGGCCCAGTATTAGTATTTGAAACAATCGTATTTGAATTTTGTCGCCAGATTGGTTGGAACTACATGTCGTTCAGGTTTTGTATTGGGACGTGGATAACGATAATTTTGGTTATATTGGTAGCTATCGATGCTAGCGCATTTGTCTGCTATATAACAAGGTTTACTGAAGAAAATTTCGCCACATTGATTGCATTTATTTTCATTTACAAGGTAAATAATAAATCTACATACATAAGCTACAAATATCGTACCGACGTTTTATATTCCAATTTTATAACTTTGCAGGCCGTGGAGAATGTAATATCAATCGGCAAAAAGTACCCTCTTAAGACACGCCCCGATGAAGTTCTCAATTATGAGTGTTATTGTTTACCAAGCAATTACTCCAAAGTGCCGGAGCAGTTTAATTGGACTTCGGTAGACAAAGAGTCTTGTCAGGTATATTACCTAATTAAATTATGATCTTGACGACTTTACATGTGTGGCTTGTATACCTCATTATACTAACGATCGTAACATACATGCTCTCACATTACAGCTCTATAATGGGACATTAGCCGGCGGCGGATGTGATACAAAAGTGTACGTTCCTGACGTATACTTAATGTCTATAATTCTCTTCCTGGGAACTTTTACGATATCTATCATTTTAAAGGACTTTAAGAACTCCTTGTTCTTTCCATCCAAGGTATGTTTAATCCAGGAATACTTATCATGAAGCATATTATTAAATTCTGTTGACCAATTAAAAACCTTACTTTTGTTTTTCCAGGTCAGACAAATCATCAGCGACTTTTCAGTAATCATTGCCATTTTGTCTATGTCCCTTTTGGACTACAAAGTGGGTGTAAAAACCCCAAAATTGGAAGTACCATCAGAGTTCAAACCAACATTACCCTCCAGGAATTGGGTGATCACTCCATTTAGTGGAAACCCTCTTTGGTCAGCACTAGTGGCAATACTACCAGCATTATTGGGGACTATTCTTATATTTATGGATCAACAGATTACAGCTGTTATAGTCAATCGTAAAGAGAACAAATTGAAAAAGGGATGTGGATATCATCTGGATTTGTTCGTGCTAGCGATTTTGATACAGATATGTTCTGTGATGGGTCTCCCTTGGTTTGTAGCGGCAACTGTCCTTAGCATCAACCACGTCAATTCTTTGAAAGTGGAATCAGAATGTGCTGCTCCAGGAGAAAAGCCACAGTTCTTAGGAGTTCGTGAACAGAGAGTTACTCATATATTAATCTTCTTAATGATTGGGTGTTCAGTTGTTCTGACGCCTGTTCTGAGCCACATACCAATGCCAGTACTTTTTGGAGTTTTTCTGTATATGGGAGTAGCGTCGCTAAAGGGGCTACAGTTCTTTGACAGGATATTGATAATGTTCATGCCTCAGAAATATCAACCGGATCACATGTTCTTGAGACAGGTAAAACAAAGTTTTTGTAAGATCCTATTTATCCAGTTTCCCTTAAAACGATCAAATCTCCATTAATGTTTTGGATATTTTTTCCAGGTCCCAATTCGTCGAGTCCATATTTTCACAACAATCCAGTTGACATGTCTGGTATGCCTCTGGGTTATCAAATCATTTTCTATGACCTCGATCCTCTTCCCACTGATGCTGGTGGTGATGATTGGCATCAGGAAGGCTCTAGACCTGTTCTTCACAAGAAGGGAAATGAAAATACTCGATGACGTGATGCCAGAAATGACCAAGAGGAACCAGGATGAACTTCGGGAACTTGGCGATGCGGAGGTGGGATGGCATGCAAAACTATTAAAATTTTGCGGTCGAAACTAAAATGTTGCACACCTTAACCATTTTAGTTTCCCTTGTCATCCTATCGTTTAACTAAATATTATTTTAGTTTTTGTTACTCATATGTTTATGTGTTACTAATAAATAAACTCAGTGTTTTGTTGTCATATTCGCATTTTATTTTTGCTGTTTCTACATTTTTATTATTTCGTACCCTTTTTTTACCCTATCTGTTACTTCAATATGGTGAGTAGTATCTGGTATCAAAATTTACTTCTTCTTTCATTATTAGTTCGTATGATTTCGATGGAAAAGTTTCTTAGGTTGTACCCTTATAGGAACCCACAAAAAGCAACCCGCCGTCGTACCAAGAGAATCTACAAATACCTCTGATCAACGGAAATATCATGAACATACCGTTGACATCAATCAATATCTCGGAGGAAGTTAACAAAACCGGGATATGGAAACAAGTCAATAATAGTAACAGAATGAAAAAAGATACGAAGAACAAAACGGGTAAAAAAAAGTAAGTATCTATATGTTACAACCGTGTTCAAGTAAAAATATTATAACTAAGAGCTGGAACAACAAGATTAGTTACAATATAACACAATAGTTACTGCTGATTCAAAACCAAACTATACATTTACAGTATTTTAAACCTTAAGTCCCCTTCAGTTTGCCAATTTCGTACAAATCACTAATACCGTTAATCTTTTCAGTAACAAACACAAGAAATTAATAATGTCGAAAAATGCACAAACTGAAATCGAGAGGAGACTATCTACCATGGACGAGGTGGAAGAAGACGACTCATCGACAAAGGTGTGCGTTAATGACACCAAATTCTAAGTGGAGCATGATTGCACCATTTTTGGCGATTATGTGCATGTACAATTGTCACAACGTGCATGATACCTTTGTAAACTTGTATAGAACATTAGTGCATACAGGGGCGGACTTGACTTACTACAACTGACTCAACTTGACTAGAAAAACGGACTAACATACACTGCGATACAAGGTTCGCTTTATTTTATTTATTTATTTAAAAGACTTCATGCACACACTAATGTACAAGGTGGGCTTAATGCCTAGGGCATTCTCCTCCAGCCAGACCTTTGGGTGATGCAGAGACAAAAACAATGGTCGATGCAAGAAGCAAGCGTATTTAGGAATCGACAGAAATACATAAAAAAAGGATAGTATAGACTTACATAAAATAAATCCCTATATAAACTTACATGTATATGTCATAACAATAAACTTACACAAATATATTACATGTACTACTTAGACGTAACATAATTATACATAGTATATTGATAGTTACGATTCTGCCAACCTCCTCAAAAGTAGCTCCCGCACCTTCCGCTTGAATGACAAACGACTGGGCACCATCCTGATATCGGGAGGGAGCGCATTCCACAGAAGAATAGACTGAACAAAAAAGGAGGAATGAAGAAATTTAGTACGATGTGTTGGACATTGGAGGAGGCGATTATTAGAAGAGCGAAGATATTTGCTGTGGTTTGCGCATGTATATTGGAAGTGTAAGGACAGATAATGAGGCGAATGAGGCTTTAAAAATAATATATGGAATATGGTGAATAAAAAAGCTGTAGTTTTTAATATAGCTTTTTTAATAATATAATTTAAGGAATATAGTTACTAACCCACAATTACAAACAAAACTATGGATAAAAGAAAAATGATCTGAAATAAAATATTTATTATTATTATATTTATTAAATCATTAAATCCTATAATTCAATTCATTTTGCTATCGAATCTCAACCCTGTTAAATTTTATTTTATGACCAAGGCCGTTGAAAAAAAGGCGGACATAATGCCACTTCGAAATGGCTGAAGCACCAAAATGTCAGTGAATTATTTATTTGTGCGTGTGTAACGTGGGTTACCACGTTACAAGACTTAAGAAAATGACAGATGTCCTTCGTGTCAATGTGTGAATGTTCTGCGTATAGAACCAGCAACTGTAGTCAAATGTCATTTAGCGCTTGTCTACTTGTAGAGTAGATAACCTAATTATATGGAATTGACATAAATTTTGACACAATTGTCAGTGTCATTCTCATACATTTAGTGTTCTACTCTCTCTGTAGACAAGCGCTAAAGTGGCGTTTAGCTAAAGGCACAGGTGCCACAGTCGTTGTTTCAAGAGACTGTGCCATTTTTTAAGATCCTTGTTTATGACGTAAATAAATAGATATGTTACCGGCCAAACCCGATTTCAGGACAAACTAGTTTTGCCTAGGCTAAAGTAGTTCTTCCTATAAGCGTTAGGATTAACTAGTATAGCCTAGTTCAAACTAATTTGCCCGATAGGACAAACCAGTTTAGGCTAGGACAAACTAGTTCATCCTGATATAAATACGCACACTCTAGGATAAACTGGTATGACCTAGTCATAATATGATTATTGTGTCTATTAAAAAAAAAACAATGTGACTGCCTTGTTGGCTAAGTGGTCGCAGTGCGACTGCCGGGCAAGGGGTCTCGGGTTCGATTCCCGGGCAAAGTATTAGTTATTTTATTTATTGAATATGCTTCATGCACAAAATGTACAAATACTTAATGCCGCAGGCATTTTCTACCAGTGTGGCCTTTGGGTGATGCAGAGAAGAGTAAATGGTAGGTGCAATTACTGGGTTTTTTTTAAACGTTGCCCCACACTAGGATTTTCTCCTGTATCGTGGGTACGTTTACAAACATACAAGTTCACATACACATCACACCCAGACCCGGAACAACAACTTGTGGATCGCACAAAGTGTTGTTCCGTGCGGGAATCAAACCCCGACACGTCGCATGTTTTTTTTAAATCTCAGTAGTAGCATAGACTCTGGAATTGTGCCCGGTATATGGCAATAGGCTCACCCCCTATTACATGGGACTCGTAACATAAATAGTGAAAAGTGGGTGTTACATTGTACAGTGGCATAATGTGCACCGCTGCCTACCCCTTCGGGGATAAGAGGCGTGATGTTATGTGATAAAAAACCGTATTATTTGTTATAGTACCTATGATTGTTTATATTGCCAATTATTATCTATAACTTGTAGCGAATCATTATGCTTTTAAAAGAATGACAATTTAAATCATTATTGCTTCTTTTAAAAATCACTTATTATTTGTTATAGCATGATTGTTCGCATAACCAATTAACCATAAGTTTTAACGACGAATCATTATAGTTTAATAAAAATGATATTTTTTTCAATTACGGAGTATTTTATTCAATTTATCTATTTATTTCGACTTTCTAGATATATTAGAATGTTTAGACTAGGCCATACCAGTTAATCCTAGAGTATGCGTATTTATATTAGGATCAACTAGTTTGTCCTAGCTTAAACTGGTTTATCCTATCGGGCTTAGGACAAATTAGTTTGAATTAGGCTATACTAGTTAATCCTAACGCGTATAGGAAGAACTAGTTTAGCCTAGGCAAAACTAGTTTGTCCTGAAATCGGGTTTGGCCGGTAACAGATAGATAGGGTCTCAAAGTTGGAGTAAAGATGGTCCGCCCCTGGATACCCTTAAATATTTGTTACTAAGCCCTAATTTTATATTTATATAGTTTAATTAAAATAATTATTGTAGTCTCTAGATGAGCACTATTTTAGATATAATTTATAAATAATGTAAATAGTATGTATGTGTGTAATTGTGTATGTAATACCAGAATATATGATTCATCGATTTTTTCCGAATAAGCAAGTTTATTTTATGTATTAAAAAACACATCGTTTTTCTTAAATGTATGTTTTATAGAACACAAATATATTTTACAATTATTATTGAATTAACTAAAATCGCGGGTTTGTCACGTGAATATACTGAGAAAAGCTCTACTAGTTTCGAACCACAGAGAGGGTCTTCCTCATTAGCAGCGTGCGCGGTCGCGGCGACGCGACGTCATGCAGCTCACTCTGTGGTTAGTGTTTCCTAGCTAAGCTACTAGGTGATCTGCTGTCCTACCAGCACACAAGATGGGGTGAATAAATAAAACCGCCTCTGTGTATTGATCTAAGCTGGTATATGTTCTATAAATTTGACATTAGTATTGCATTAGACATTTTGGTCTTACAAATCAATTTTACCTTATAGTTTCATTGGTAACGAAACCATAGCTCGATTTTAATTGCGACAACGCCATCTATCGAGCTATGAGACAACTTTGAACAAATATATTTTTTAACATCAACAATAAGTTTGGTCTTGAACAGTTAGAAACTACTTAGTAGAGCTTTACTCAGTTTTATTTTCTCGATTTTAGTTAATTTAGTGTGTCTCACGGTAGTTATTATAAAAATAATTTATATTGGTATGTTTTATAGAAATAGTATAGTTTAGTTTAGAATGTCTTTAATATCTATACATGAATATAGAATTAGTTATAAAATAGATTTATAATAAAAAAGAGCGATAAAAAGAGACGTAAGTAGTTTTTTTATTATATTTGTGTCAATGTATGGTTTATGTAAAATTTCCGCTTTATGTGTCTACCGATTATACGAATCCTGCACTCACCTTTATGAGTCCTCCTGCATAAACGTAATTATTTTCAATCTATAGTGCCAACGTTATGTTTAAAGTAAAATATGTTAAGTAAGTAATATTTTGTAATACGTTTATTTATGCATGCAATAAAAAGTGTAAAAACTCTTTACCCATTCGACATTTGTTTTTTCTCTAATCAATAATCTATAAGCCAGAAACAAATAAGATGGGCAAACAAAATGGCTATTGTTTATATGTATTTTCGTTCACCTACACTAAAAAGCACTAATGTAAATACAAACCAATATAAACTTTCATAGTAGATATTAAGGTCTAGTATCCTATATTTTTCTAATACACAGTACCTTTTTCGCATGTTTTTTTTTGTAATTCTATTGTGAGCTTGTATAACTAAATACGTTTTCAGAATGACCACGTAAGGCGCAAAGATTCGTGGAGCAGCGGTATAAGAAAATCTGATTCTAGAAAAGGTAGTTCTTCAGCTGAAACTTCGGTCTAAATCTAAATCTAGAACAATCTAAGTCTAAAACTCATTTATATCTATCTACTCTTAAAACTCATTACCGTCATATTATGTAGTGTTTAAGTAAATTGGCACAAAGTGTGTTGACATAAATTAGTAATTATGCGTACTATGTTTATTTTTCTTTGTTTATTGAAGTTTATGTTCAGCTACTCATTTATAGGCATGTCTAGATGGACTGTCAATAAGGGCTAAAATGAAACAAGACTACAAATCAACTGTTTCTAGTTTTGTTGTAATGGTACTTGGACTTCACTACATAATATAAAAAAGTCGCTATCCTCAGTCTATCTGTCCCTATGTATGCTTCGATCTTTAAAACTACGCAACGGATTTTGATACGGTTTTTTTATAGATAGAGTGATTCTTAAGGAATGTTTATATGTACGTATAATAATATGCATATTGCACCCATCCGAGGGTTGCTAGTCTACAATAAAGTTATTTTTTTTGTAATCAATTATAAATGATATGTAATCAGTTACAAATGAAACCTGTGTATGTATAAAATGATAACATCATCATCATCATCATCATCAACAGCTCATAAATGCCCACTGCTGAGCAAAGCCTCTTCTCACACGGAGAAGGTTTGAGCATTAATCACCACGCTTGCTCAATGCGGGTTGGCGATTTCAAACTTATAATTAGAAATTATAAGCCCAGGTTTCCTCGCGACGTTTTCCTTCACCGTTGATGATGAAATGTAAAGTTGATGACGAAATTATTTATTTAATAACAGATAGTATTTTATTTACTCCTTCGTATTATTTTGTCGATACTTTGTTATTGTTAAATGCCCAATAGATATATCATTTATTATCTAACAATCCCACTAGACATGCATTCTAATGATCTAAAGTTTAAATAATTTATTTTTTATGTCCTTTTGATGATAGATTGCTATGTGATTAGTGTTAGGTCGTTAAAACTAATTTCAGTGTCAATATGCAATAGATTGTTACGTGTACGTAGGTAATTGGGGAACCTTTAAAAATCTCAAGTCAGTATTAACGTCAATGAAATTAATGATATCCGTCTTAGATATTTGAGAAAATCTAATTTAGAAGCACCTAAGTATGTCTTTACTTTTCTATTGAACTATGTATTACATGTTTTTAATCAAATAAGAAAGATATTATGTATCTTATTATCTATGTATGGTTTCTAATTGCGTATTGAAAAATAGTCTTACAAAAACCTTCGCGGAGAAATTAAGTTGTTTTTTATATTTTGTTAAATGTTCTTCACTTAATTTATCTGAATGTAAAATTACTTAAAAATTTAAGATTGTTTTGTTTTAAATTTACTGTCCAATATTTTGTGACTTTCCTTTAGGTATATTAAACGACTTCTAAGAGAAAAATAACAAAAAAAAGTTAATAGAATCATATAAAATATTAAAACGAAGTGCCAATAGAGTAACACCAGTAGTTTTTAGATAATCTGTACAATTAATATCAGGATAGGATTTTTAGATGTCGCCAAAATAGGTTTTTGACATATTGTTATAATAATTAAAAAAATTTTTTAATTTTCTATGTAGTTACGAAACGGCACATCAAGCTGCACTTCAATCTTTAATAGATTTTCAACTATATTGTTTTGTAATAAAGTCGAAAACGTATTGAGGTTATTTGACAGTTGAGGGATCTTTATGTGCTGGGCTCTGTACAATCGACCAATTTGAATGATGACCCACCCGCCATAGGCTTATTCTCTTACAGACATTTAAATTCAAATTAAATTAATGTACACCTAAACATGCGTTCCCATGGAAACGTTCTCAGCTTTGGTTATTTTAAAATGAAAGTGAATCATGATTCAAATTGCCGATGGTACCTATATTTCTGTTATTCATAAAATATTTCGTAAGTAAATAGCGTAGATTCACAATGTTATTAATTATGGTGTAAAATTAGACCTCGTAATAATCAATTATGTGAATCGAGAGTCAGTTAATCAACTGAACATATACCTATTTTATTATGATAGTGTTACTTAGTCACTAGTATTATTTAGATTTTCTATGATTTAATTGTTGTTTATTTATGTATTACTATTTTTTTAATGCTTAGTGTCGTATTTTTCAGTCCTACTCAGTATGAACCTATAATAAAATAATAAAAAATATCCAATATGAGAGCGTCAACAATTTTGGGCAATACCTACATTATTAAGTCTTTGTCAGTACCACCGGACTCGACTATAGGCCTCCTATCATTATTATCATCATCAACAGCCGAATGATTTTAAGTGTGGGAGAGCCATGCTTCGACCGGAGTGATACCACGGCCTCACTGAAGACTGACGTGAAACAACGTTGTGTTATGTTTCGTCGTGTGAGTGAGGTTACCGGAGGCCCAATTATCCCCCCCCCCCTTTCCCTAATCCCTGAATCCCCAACAATCCTCAAATTCGTAATCCAGAAGGCCAGTAACGCACTTGTAACGCCTTTGGTGTTCCATGGGCGACGCCGATTGCTTACCATCAGGTGATCCGTCTGCTCATTTAACGTGGACGTCTTTTTTTATGGGATAGGCTTATTTTTTTACTTATTACGGCTGGACAACCCTCCCAGTAATCCTCCTCCTCCGTCGAACGACAACTCGCCACTTGCATCCACTGACTGCGGGGAGGACAACGTATGTAACGTGCAAAATTGTATGAGAAAATAGAACTTCAAATAAATAGACTCTATGATATTAATGTACTAATCCTTGTCTTATGTAGAAATATTTTCTAGAACACTTTCGAGCACTCTTCAATCAATATTATCCCAATTTTTCCCTGTAATCCTATCTCTGTATGTTCTAGAATAAAATAGCAATAGATATAAGTATTTAAATATAAGCAAAACAATTATTATTTGTACCTGGGGCGTTTGTTACGATTTGTATCGTTTTTGGAATATATTTGTGGAGTGTTATGAATAAATGGGATTTTTATAAATGTATTTTTTGTTTTAATTCATACCTATAAAATTGGGGGCAATGATACGAAGTCGACGACTGTACCTGTAATGATTACACAAACAACTTTCAACTTTAGCGTTATTGTTCTAAAGTCGATAATACAATGTCAGTATTGAAAGCGCAAATAAGAAAAAAATATTAATTACTTTCACTTACCTGTGGTTATAGATTTAGAAATCTTTAGAACTTCAAGAAAGATCCGAAAGAAACACCCTTTCATCAAACGATTTTTTATTTTCATTTCTATAATTAGATAATTATCTTAGATTGCAGAGTTTGGCAATCGCTTATTCTTAGCTGAAGAGTTGCAAGAAGATAATTTTGTCTAAATTCTCAGTAAATAAGCTAACTTGAATCTTGCAAAAGTTAAAAGATATTTATTATAAGACTTCAATGTATTTTTCTAGTCAAATTGTAGTTAGTTAATACTAAACGGGGATAAAACACGAAACAACATTTGAAAATCATTACATTATAAATACATTTATTATTTATACTAAATATCGCCTTAAAACAATAATAAAAATAATGGTGTAGATCCGGATATACGCAAATTATTTATTAGATACGCTAAGGTACCATTTGCGCAAATTGCGCAAATTTCATAACGCTGTTTGCGCAATGCGCAACTTTGTATTAAGTGTGTGCGCAAAAATTATTTACACACAATTTTACATATCATATTCATATTTTTTTCCTGCTACTGAAATGTATAGAAATTAACATAATTTCTTATTAATCTCATATTTTATTTGAAATTTCAAACTAATTGCACTAAAGATCACAATCAGACTAATGTCAGACTGTCTCAATATGTGTCCTGATTAATTTTTAAGGTCAGTATAATACTGCACCTTTCAAGTATGAGATAAACGGCAAATTGTGTGCATGTACCGCACGTCGAAGATTTAAGTAGATATATATCAATATACACATAGTTTGTTGCGTATAACCGGACCATAAAATAAATTAGTCTAAACATTAACTAGGCGGTTAATTCTTCTTCTTCTTTTGGTCTGGTAGAAGGCCCATATCTTCCTGGTGCTTTCTGATCAGCTTCTCCTGGACATCAGGTAAGCAAGGGGAGTATCTGCTGTATTCCATGCTGAATTCTCCCTTGCCTTGTGTCATTGACCTGTTGAAGAGAAAAGAAAGTTGTAAGTATGACCGATCAAGTCAAATCGGCAACGGGAAACCCAGTGTCAGACTGCGTCAGACAATCCACAAACAGGGAGAGATGCCGGGAGATCGTGACGAAAGCTGTATCGGCCTCGTGACCACCACCGCTCTACCAAGAGCGAAACGACAGAGAAGAAGTTATATTTTAGGGAGTTTAGTCTAATTTGAATTTAAAAATCCTTTCGCTTCGATATCTCATTGTAAATACTTGATATTTGAGTATTATTATTAGTTAAAATGCTTTCAAACTATATGTGACTACGACACTATACACGTCAACACAAAAATATAGCACTTTATAAACTAGTTGTGTTATAAGGCCCGCCGAAATCGAAGACAGCTTGATGCCGAGATTTGCCTATGTAATGACGTAATGTCGAAACGAGCCCATTACCAAAGCAAGCTTATTACCAAGCAGAGCCTATTGCTGTGTCAATACTAGTGCTAATAAAAAAATTGTCACCTAAGTTCACCAGCATATCCGAACATGTTGTTTAGCGGTACTTCAGCATATATCGTGGTCCATCCTTCAGTTCCCTCCGAGCCAGTGATGATACCTCCTCGCTTGTTCAACTGTCCCACCACGGTACCATGGAACTCCTCCGGTAGAGTTACTTCCACGAACATTATAGGTTCCAGGATCTGCCAGGCGCCGTCGTCGAATACTGAAAGTGGGTAGGATTATTACTTTTTCTTTCTTTATCTTAGCTAGGATACAAGGCCGGGTTTGAGAGTTAGTACCTACGGTCCGAAACAAAGTGCTAACCCACTTTAGATTCTAAATGTTTTTATTTGATTTTTTTTGAGGGGGGAAATCATCCAATGGCTTCCCACTCTGGTCAGGCGAGAAGGAGTGTCAGACTCTTACTGACTAAAAACCACTTTTGCACACCGAGTCAGAGCCCCGGCAACCCTAAGTCCTCCGTGGCTCAAGTGCTAACCGACTTGGATGTTTGATAAATCTTATTATTACTATTTCATAAAAATACATAAAGTTTGTAAGTATCTGAATACAATAACATTTAGTTTTTCTAGTTTCTGGTTTTTAATAATTGTCTTATAGCACTAGGACACGACCCTGTTATAATCCAGCTTAACCTAATCTTGATATCACGCTCAAAGGGCAACAATACCTAAACTAAAAGAGGTTTATTGACAGTGGCGATAACTTTTGCTTACTTAAATCTTAAATAATTTTTGAGAATTTCAAAATCAATCACCATATCCGACAATAATGACCCAAAAATCGAAACTCAGACTAGAAAGATCAGACTTTATAGTCGGTTACAAACTCAATACCACAGAACTATCAAGATTGATCCCTACTCCTTACAAAACAAAGTCCACAATTAATCAACTCACCTTCTTTAACCGCTCCCTTAGCAGCCAAGAAGAAGGCCAATTCACTTGAGTCCACGATATGGTGAGCACCGTCTTGCAACCTGAACTTCACACCAGATACTTTATGTCCAGACAGGTAGCCTTTCTGGCAGGTGTCCAGAAATCCTTTTTCTATGCCAGGCACAAATTGCTTGGGTACATTTGTACCTATTGTTTCGTCAATGAATTCTAGGGCTGTAAGAAAATAATTAATCTTATAGTGATGCTTATTAAATTTAAAGAAGGGGTTTTTATAGTTTTTTATAGCATAAACCGGTAAACGAGCAGACGGATCACCTGATGGTAAGCAATCGGCGCCGCCCATTGACACTCGAAACACCAAGGCGTTACGAGTGCGTTACCGGCCTTTTGGGAATTGGGAATTTGAGGATCGTTGGGAATTCAGGAATTGGGGAGATTAGGGAAGGGGAGGGTAATTGGGCCTCCGGTAACCTCACTCACACGACGAAACACAACGCTAGCGTTGCTTCACGTCGGTTTTCTGTGAGGCCGTGTTATCACTCCGGTCGAGCCGGCCCATTCGTGCCGAAGCATGGCTCTCCCACACTTAAACACACGTTTTGGTGTTGTTCGTCGAGATTTTTGGAACTTCCCCATCTTAATAATCGAATATAGAACTCAATATTTAGTTGAAATAAGTACTTACTAGTATTTTGATGTGGAGGCAATGGTTCCATGATACCAGTCACTCTGGCGTACTGACCAGCACCACCAGACTGCTTCTTGTGGAGGTAGTCGAAGGAACAAGAGGACATCATTGTTTCTCTGTTCGGGACAAGGATAATATTAACAATAATTTAGTCATATTGCAACGTCATAATATAAGTACATGCGATGTACTATGATGATTTATTTAAAACGAATTGTACTTCTTATTAAAAAACTTTCAGAATGTAACATCAACTTAACCAGTCAATATCACCAATAGTCAGTGTTATAATGTAACAATATTAATATTACAGGGGGAAATTTACATTTATCGACAAGAAAAATCACACATACTACCAAACTACCTAAATTAAAAATTCTAAATTAATTATATGCTAGAGGCTCATATTCACGAGCAGCAATCCTAATATGAGCCCTTAGCAAGGCGTAAAACTAGTCGAGTTCCAGGTTAGTCACATGAGTAAGCCGAAAACATAATAATTAACTTAGTATGTCTCAAAAAAGTTTTAATATAAAAGCTCTATAAGTTAATATTACCTGAATGCCACCTTAGGTTTGCCCAACTCGACAGGACAGTTGTATTCTCTCTCCATTCTCTGGGCGTAGATCTCTAAATGTAGCTCACCCATACCAGAGACAATAGTCTCTTTGTTGTCTGGGTCATAACGGAATTGGAATGTAGGATCTTCTTTGGTGAATCTTGAATAATAGAAAAGGAAATTAAAGTACATTATGAACAGCCTAAAAGTGGCCACTGCACACCAAAGGCCTATTCTCACACGGAGAAGGTTTGAGCATTAACCTTTTGAACGCCAGAGCAAAAACACATGAACCTGCCTTCGACACCAAGCCACAAATTCCACGCAAATTTCTACGAAAGAAATAGGAATTATTGGAATCCCTATTGTATCAACAATAGGGATTCCAATAATTCGTGTTTCTGGTTCCGCTTTTTCTGTCATGTATTTGTGTCGTTGACGTCCAGGGACAGTTTTCGCTTGTCGCGTATATGTGACATTGGCGCTCAAAAGGTTAATCACCACGCTTGCTCAATACGGGTAGGCGATTTCAAGCTTATAATTAGAAATTATAAGTCCAGGTTTCCTCACGATGTTTTTTTTTACCGTTTGTCAGTGGCGTCTATATAATCTTAGAAAGTATATATAACTCGGATAAAGTCACATTGGTACTTGCTGTTGGTAGGTTTCGAATTCGCATTCTCATAAAATAATATGGAAAGCGGGCTTAAACCTCTGGGCCACTTACTTTTATCAGAATAATAGCAATGAACGAGGAACACCTCCAAGTTCAGTGCACCTTTATTACTAGGAATGCTCGAAAATCTCATATTCTCTGCTTAGTTCAGGAACAGGAAACCCTTTCGATATTACTCCACCATAAATTAGCAATACTTAGGTATTAATTTAGACAACACAAAACTTTTAATGCGAAACAATTTAAATCATTCTCTTTTTTCACTCACCTAGCAACAGCTTTCGAGAAATTATCTCTATCTTTATTATTCTTCGGTTTGATAGCCATGGAAACGACGGGGTCAGGTACGTGTATAGATTCCATTGCCAGTTGTAGCTTGCCATCGTTGACAAACGTGTCACCAGACGCGCAATCTACGCCGAACAATGCGAAGATGTCGCCGGCCATCACTTCTGTTACTTCTTCCATGTTGTTTGAGTGCATTCGTACAAGACGGGAGATTTTGACCTGTAATTAAAGTTTGATTATTGATTAGGTTTAAATAAATATCTTCTTAAATAAATTGATTGAAATGCTGTTACAATTCTATAAAAAAAAACTTTGAATTCTTACATCAAACATACTGTCTCGTTATTCTAAATAATTTAATTGAAAACTATTATTTTTGACAGTAATAAGTATACAATATGCATAAGATTACAGAGCACTAATACAGTTCAGCATTGCTTTTTAGGATTTCAAGTTCTTCAAATGTCTTAAAAGATTTCCACTGCAATGTCTGCCGCTTATAAACTTACAACCAAAATTAATAGCTTTATCAACCCACCTTCTTATTAGTTCTAGCATTAAAAATATTCTCTCCTCTCTTCAACATTCCCTGGTAACATCTCAAGTATGTGAGCTGACCAAACTTGCTCACTTCCAACTTGAAAGCTAAGCCAACAAATGGCTTCTTATCATTCCTCGAAGGATCCAACACAATTGTTTGGCCCTCTCCCTCCTTATCTTCATTCAACATGGCTGTGTTCTCCACCTCACCAGGGTTTGGAAGGTACTCCAGTACAGAATCAAGCAAAGGTTGGACTCCTTTGTTCTTTAACGCTGTGCCTACGAGAACCGGGGTGAAGGAACGTTTGAGGGTTGTCCGTCGGACGGCCTGCTTTATATCTGCTACTGTTGGTGTTTTTTCTTCGAGGAATAGTTCTCCTGTAAAGTACAATGGGGAGATTGAGTTGTGGTTGTCAAAACCTATTTTAACTTTTTTTTTCTACTCTCTCATTCAAATATTTTTAATTTAACAAAAATATTATCTTGAAAAATAAGTAAGAAATTGTAAAATTTGTTATTGGGATTATCTTAATGGCAGGCATGTAGCAAACTCTCTGCATGAATCCCAGCCTAAGGTAATTAGGTTTCCCTTATTCGATCTTAATAAAAGTGTCTACTCCTTTGAAAAACCGTGTGTTATGATAAACCAGTAAAACTACAAAAAAAAAATACACTTACCTAAAGTCTCATCAACATTAGACAAATGCTCAATTAGCTCATGTCTCCTCTCCTGTACTTCTGCTCTGTTGTCTTTCGGTACCTCATCATACCTGATGGACTCGCCATAATCACCATCGAAGTAGATAGCTCTCTCCTCAATCAGATCTAAGATACCTTGGCATTCTTTCTCTAATCCTATTGGAAGCTGAACAAATGCGGCATTGTGGTTCATTTTGGAACGCATTTGTTTTACAACTCTGGAAATGTGAATAAGAAAATTATTTCAAAATTTATAAATTAAGCTTCTGATTCCTTTTGGATTTGATATCAAATACAAATAGTTAATATGAATGATTCATTTGTTTTAGATCATAGAATAAATTGGGAATATCATTTTTAACTATCTCGGACCTAATAATCACAAAATAATCATCAAATCAACATTTTATACGAATTCATAAAAAAATATGCAAATAGATCACCAACCTGTAAGGATTAGCTCCCATCCTATCAAGCTTGTTAATAAAAGCCAAACACGGGACAGTATATCTCTTCATTTGCCTGTTTACAGTCAAAGTCTGGCTCTGCACTCCACCGACAGCACACAACACTAGCACAGCCCCATCCAACACTCGCAGAGCTCTTTCTACCTCCACAGTAAAATCTACGTGGCCAGGAGTGTCTATTATGTTGATGTTGTGATCCTTCCAGATGGTGTAAGTGGCTGCAGATTGAATAGTGATACCTCTTTGGCGTTCTAACTCCATGGAGTCCATGACAGCGCCCACATTGTCTTTGCCTTTGACCTGTATAGTAAATTTAAAAATTAATATTGTACTTTTTATGTCAATAATATCCAATCTATATTATATGTCCTGTAGAATAGTCTTGGCTTTTAAACTAAAATAATAGCCAAGATAAAAGTTTATAATTTATCAGCTAATCACGAATCAGTGTAGAGAAGAAAATTTACATATTATTATATCTTTCTTTAAACTGTTGTACTTTGACCACAAAAATCCGCATGTTCTTAGTCTTAGGATAAAAACATAGTTTTAGAGAATATAATATATTTCGTACCTCATGCATTTGATCTATTCTGCCGGTATAGTACAGTATTCTCTCAGTAAGAGTAGTTTTCCCTGAATCTATATGGGCAGAAATACCAATGTTTCTGATCTTTTCCAAAGGCTTGTGTTCTGCATATTTGACGTGTGACGAGAATTTCTGTAAAAATACCACAATTCGTATCACGTTCAAGCAATCCAATCACATTTATTTTAAAATTAAGAGAATAATAAAATTACGTAAAAACAACCGGATCAGTTAGGAATTTATTTTGTGGTAATTAAGTCAATATTTACCTCGATTTGTGAAACATTTGATTTATTTACACTCCTAAGAACGTTTGATAATCGTAAAAAGTTTGAAATCGTCATTTTAGTTTCATAAAAATTAAATTATCACAGAATTTATAGAATTTTAGGTTACTACTTCATGTCAATGTCATGTGGGGCTGAAGCTGCAGAGCACACCAAAGAGTATAATAAGTATAGGGGGAGCACACACAGTAAGTAAAAAAAGAACAGGATGAAAAGTGGGGATTTCTATTTTTGTACGGTAAAGTGGCTTTTTATCCAGGAAATTACATGAGGACAACTAAGCTCCTCAATGGAATATTTTAGTTTAGATATTTTTTTTCGTTTATTATATAACCAAATATTGGATGTTAAGTTTTTACATTATAATATTACATTTTATTACAAAACGAGAGTAAGTAAATATGTTGTTTATTGTTTAGTATTATAATTTCCACGTGTATTTAAATTAATGATATTTTTGGCGGTTTGTGATTTACTTTCAAGTACTCAAAATAGACGTTCATCAGTGCAGTGAACATCATACCTTATTCCATGAACAATATAGACTCAATGTGAAGTTAGCAGCAATAGCTTCGCTATTGTTAAGTTGGCAACATGTAAACTATAGACAAAAAAACAGTTTCTTTTCAGTTCAAAAAGAATATGGCCGTGTTGGGGCCGTGTGTAAGTGTAAATATGAATGGGCACAATAATATTCATAGTCAGTTAACAAAATCGTTAGAGAGAATTTTGGAAGATGCTTATTTGAGTGGTGAATTAAAACTAAGTGGACGCAAGTTGAGGGAGTTTCCGAAACCAGTGAAGTATGACCTGAGCGATACAGTTGTAGCTGGTAAGTCCAGTTTTATAAATAAATCGTGCTGCATTTCTATGCGTTTTACGTATAATATTTTATTTTGGGTCTTGTTTTATGTTCTGTAAATGTAGTAGAGTGTTTTAGATACGTAACCTTGTTATTTTTACTTGCCGGCTGTTGTAGCGTCGCGGTGTCGTTTATTTGTCATCAAATCGATTGGGTATGATAACCACTTGAACAAGAATTTCGATACGATTGTATCTGCATTTCTAAGAATCCCTCCGATTATTAAAATACGTTTTATCTTACTTGAAACTATACTTCAGACGGTGTATATTGTGTTTTATGCTTATCGAAATAAGTTGCAAAGTATTTTGTTATTCCTACTGCTTGTTTAGCCGCCGTTTAATAGGAACATGTGTTTTCGAAAACATTTGGTTATTATCATGTCCAAAGTACTTACATACTCACTGCAGTAACCACAAACAGCTAAAATATTCATGTAATTGTTTATAATATACTTATTCACATACGACTATCCTAATTACAATTTCAAATGTGCTTACTATGAGCACACGCTATTTCATGACCGGAAATTGGAGACAGAAACCATCAGTTATCTGTACCTAAAACAACGATAGTCAGTTTCTGCACTTAAGTGCCTATTCACTATCCTAAGACCTCATTTCCTGTACTATCTATGTGGGCATTAAAAGAGGAACTATACAGACACATTTATAATCTATACTTAGTTTATACAGCTTTCCATCTATAGGTATAAAAAAGATGATTCAACATGTAGAATTCTGCATTTAAATGTGCAGCTGCACATTATTCTTATTGGATGTAAACACTTAAATCGTTTATTGAAGTCTCATATCCATAATACATATAAATACCTTGGCATAGCAAGTCTTAGTCACAGGACTGCACTGATGATATTCATTGCAGTTTCCTCCCAGTATACGGGTGCATTACCTGTTTGGTATGGGGAAAATCCCTTGGTCAGACTATTACTTAATGAAATAATTGTAGACATTACCCACATAGGCAATGTAAATTGGAATTAATTCCAATGTACTTGCTATTAAATTAGCCTTAAAAATGGATTAATACAAATGTACCTGATTTAAATTGCTAGATATTGTATAATTACTTTGGTGTATTATAAAAACAACATAATTCACATAATAACTATGCCCTGTAACTAACTTAATTAAATGCAGTGTTAATCTTTGCTACCTCAGAAAGCATCATAATTTAATATCTATTGTATAAAAAAGTTCTTACTGGACCGGTCTGGGAATTAAAACATTTCAATCATTGTCTATTCCCATAACAACAGAAATGGATGTAAAGTGTTTATTAGGCGAAAATGTGCCTAATGGCTGTATGTCGGCGACTTGTGCCCATAACTGGTTTCTTTATTACTACAGGCGCCATGAGATACCGTGTGGACTATTCTAAAAAAAACAACGTAATTTTTTATTTCGGCGTTTCGCCGTAGTATGTTTTCGTGGGCGGTAGTATATTTTTGTAGTTCTGAATGTTTGTTGTGATAGCAGTATTTTATCTAGTAAAAAGATAAGTTTCTAAGTACCTAGTCTTTTATTGTGTGTAAACTTATTAGCACAGTCCATGTGATATTTACGCGACCAAAATTGGATTTCCTAAATAAATGCAGATAATAATAGTTGATAATATAGACGTTAAAATAAATATTATTAGTCTCCGAAATGTCTATGACACTTTAATTTCCAGTCAAGGTCGAATTTTGTCACTCAAAGTGCTCGAGACTCCCGACGAAATTGTCGATGAAGAATGTCTCTGTCCAAGTTTAGTACGTTTTACAAGATATAGAATTAGAATAGCACATTTTAAAAACGTATTCGGCCTGAACACCCTATTCTAGTCCCTTGGGTTAAAGGCTAAAGAAGCAAACTTTTACCGTAATCATGTTAGGTATAAAAAATTTTATGCTTTTGGGTGCTAAACCACAGGCTAAACAGGCGCTGATTCCGATTCCGTTCCCAAGAATACGGCGCGTCGCGTTCCGCGCGCGACTCAAAGAGCCATCAGACCACCACAGATGATGATGGCCCAATAGGGCCGATGCCGATTCGGAGTCGCTGAGAACCTAACGGGTAACCGGGGCTCCGGCTCGACGTGCAGGAGAAGGAACGGGGTGGTTTTTAGTCAGTAAGAGTCTGACACTCCCTCCCGCCTCACCCAGGCGGGAGCAGTCATTCGATGATTTTCCCCCCTTAAAAAAACCCCTACCATGAACACAGTTTCAGCTGCTGGTCTGGTACGATATAGTTTCCTACTTAGTACCTAATTATACATTGACCACACAGCAAAAGACAGTATTATTTCAACTTAGATACCTAATATGACTTAGAAATCGTCATTGCATAACTACGGTGAACGCCTACACTCCTGTAACCAGTTTCCCTCGATTAATATTAAATGAAAACTCGCGTGGGTTCACTAAGTTACAAGATACCTACAGGTACTTCGCTATTGCTTAAAATAAGTCGTCAAACACAGTAGAAAACTACTTAACATGAAATAATGTTTTATATCGATACGCTAACTTTACCGACCGGGGGTTATTGTACTTACCTATATTCTAACAGACCATCACCTATTCTAATTAAGCTTTAGAATAAATAATTCCAATGAATGTTTTTAGTTCTTACTTTTACTTCGTATTTATTCGAATGCCTATGACATACATCGACTAATTTTAGTATCCGTGCATCGATTGTAAATGCTAGACTTTGGTATTAACGGTACTTATGTCTCATTGAATCGTGTGGCAAATTGAAGATTGGCTGAAATTACCTAAGAATAATTTTAAATTACGTAGCTATACGACTGTGTAGCCGGACATAGTTCTAAGTTCATTACGAACTCTACTAAAGTTCCAAATTATATTTTATCATCAGTCTGTTTTCAATCCCATCCACTCCTAGACATGGCTGCTGTACTTATTGAACAACGAACTCCCTAAAAATATAAAATATTCAGAAATTCCTACTTACTACTGATTAGACATATCTACTGCCTCTTAACTCAATTCTGTAAAAAAAACGCCAAAAATGCGTTATTTATGACAAGGGCGTCAAAGTCCTCTCCGATAACCGCTCGATCTTTCAGCTCTTCACTTTGCATAACCTCGAATCAACAAAATCATTAGCATTTTTTTTTAATCATAAAAGACCTCTCACACCGAAAATAGAATGGCCGTTCTGTTTACTTTATTATCTGTGTAATTAAAACGTTATCGAATGCTTTAATGTTTAGACAAAGAGCGTGGTCACTGTAGTCATCACATAAGAAAAGAGAGAGTCTGGTTGTTTAATTTATATGCTAAATACGGAAATGTATGGGTTCAGTTCGTCTGAAGTACTTTCCATGTGGTACCACTACCATACTTCTTAACACATACAAATGTAATTAAAAATAATTAAACAAAAAATCATTAAAAAAGGAAAGTGGGTTGTCTAAAATACCCGGTCGTTGTTCCTATTCTGAAAATATTAGACATCCAAATGTTTCAATGTTGTAGAAATATACACTTTTGCAATCAGGAAAAGCATATCACTCAACAAAATTCGACCTTTACAAGTTTATTAACTAAAATCAACCAAAGAAATTACGTATTCAACTGACGTCAGACAGCTGAAAGGTCAAAATAATCCCGGATCATTAAAAAATGTTCTCATTCCCAATTCTCAGAAGTACTTATCCTGCTTTGTAATTCTTAAGAACTCATTCCTTACTTATTCACTACGTTTTGCAACTTGAAAAAGCTTGAGTGATTACAACCTATCCATATAAGGAGTTTACTTTAAGAAAACAAAACCTCGTAATCTCGAATCTCGAAAGACAATGATGTAACTTCCTTTGAAGACTTAGTTTTTTGTGTCAGTTTTTTTGTCTAGTATTGTGTTTCAAGTTTAACGTTATTTAAATCGGAGCTTTTGTAGAGAAACTGCGTCGTTAGTACCGGTATCAATATACTAAAGACACGAAATCTAATCTTAGGCGAAAAATCTGTCTAGAAATCTCATTTTTGAAAGATTGTTAGTGGCATTTTATCAAGAGAACAGGTACGAAAAGGTGGGATACTTTTTAGCAAGTAACGACTCCATTAACTAATAAAATACATATTCCATTCAATTGTTTAAATCAATCTCTGAAAAATATTTAATTATGACCGCATTGTGTGTCCTTTGTGACCACTGAACAATGGACCTTGGTATCCAATAAGAATCATAGCAGCTATATATATCTTTGTAACGATTAATCTCATCTGTTTACACTGACGACACGTGATTACTAAGTTACTAACCGCAATCGGAATGCAATGTCCTAGCATATAACATTAACCCTAGACTAAAGTTATTAGAGCTCATGGTAACCTATCTTGAAGTATCATCACTGTCACTAACTTTCATGTCCATTTGACCACTTTTTTTATGGCCTAAGTCTGTAGACGAGCAGATGGATCACCTGATGGTAAGCAATCGGCGTCACCCATGGACACCTGGAACACCAGAGGCGTTACAAGTGCACTACCGGCTTTTTGGGGATTAGGAGTTTGAGGATCGTTGGGGATTCAGGGATTGGGGAGATTGGGAAAGGGGAGGGTAAATGGGCCACCGGTAACCTCACTCACGGCGAAACACAACGCAAGCGTTGCTTCACGTCGGTTTTCTGTGAGGCCGTGGTATCACTTCGGTCGAGCCGGCCCATTCGTGCCGAAGCATGGCTCTCCCACACTCGAAAACTTTAAGTGTATACTTACCTAGAATTCTTCTGTTAAGCAGTATAACTAGTCCAACTTAATTATGCGCTGGATCAAATTAGCACGAGTGTCTATAATAGGTTCACATTCTTTAAATGAGATCTCTACTCGATTTTCCCACTCAATGGTATAAAAACGTCGTAGTGGATCTGTGGGAATGTGAACTTCACTGAAGATTAAACTGACAAAATTTTACTGTCAGATCATAAACGGTTTGGTC